CTTCTCTTCTCTTCTCTTTGCCTCTCTTCTCCTCTCTTCTCTCTTCTCTCATCTCCTTTCTTTCTGAGGCTCTCAATTTCTGGTACTAATCATTTATATACTTTTTTTTTGTTTTTGTATTTAGGACAGGGTCTACCGGGACTACAGGGTCTCACTGTATAGATCGGATTATAGGCTCATGCCACCACGCCCAGTCTCAATTGCCCTCTCAGCCTGCCCTGGAGGCGGGGTGGGCAGGCAGGCCTGGGAATCAAACTCCCAGCCCCTGCTTCTGCCAAACAGGTGCTTTAATCTACTGAGCTATTTGGCCAGCCCTTATATACAATTTTATACCATGCTTTTTCATTTAAATTTATATTATTAAAAGAAAATGCTGGTAGTATGCACATCTGTTTGATATATGAAATAATTTGCTTAACTAGTCTCCCGTGATGAATCTGAGGCACAGGGAGATGCAGTAACTGCCCCAGGACCGAACAGCCAGTCAGGACGCACCTGAGCAATGCAGCCTGCTCTGGCCTGCTGTTACCTGGGGGCAGCCTCGACCGTGCCATGCTTCCCCGTCATCTCTGCTGGCATCTTTCATTTTGTCCCGTAGCTCAAAACCTTTCCCCTTGCTGCTCCATGCCAGCCCATGCTGCTGTCTGGTGAAACCTTTGAAGTTGTGTACACCACCCTTGGTTATAAAGCCAAGCAACCTGTGTAAATTACCCAAGCTTTTTGCCTTGACATGTAGATGCTGAGGATTACTTAATAATTACCAGCTATGGAGCTCCTGCTTGCTGGAAGTATTGAGCCCTTGATACAGTTTTCTCATTTAATTAGTAAAATAACCCAGTGGGGTGTTGTTTTAGTTTTTGATTTTGCTGATAAAGAAAGAGGACCCAGAGTGCCCAAGGGAGGTTCAGATCTAGTCTTCTGCATCAAGCTGATCCCCAGCATCTTGCGCTTTTGTGGAATGGAAGTTCTCCAGTTGTCTGCTTAAGCCTTCTCAGTCCCTAAAGGGGCTTCCTCTTTGAGTGTATCAGCCATGAAGTATGGTCCCTGGATCTAGTGAGATACTTTCGGGCCCAGAGCCCCTCCCTGCCCTTCCTGCCCTTCTGCCTGCCTGCCTAGCTATCTTCAGCCTCTTGCAAAGCAGCTCTAGCCTCCATGGAGTATACATGGCTCTAATGGTCAGGGAAATGGCATCTGGCTCTGGTTGGCTTCTCTATCTGTGGGGATAGGTACCACCCTGAGGATAACAGGGTGCCTGGAGTTTGTAAACATCAGCACTGAGGAGCTTGGGCTGAGTCCTTGATCTGTCACGTCCATAGTACATGCACAGATGAGACCCAAGACTAGGTCCCAAGTAGAAGACAGCTGAGTGCCAGGCGCTACTGGGCTCAGCCTCATAGGCCCACATCAGTGAAGTCCAACTGTAGGCAGCAGATAGGTGTCAGGTTCCTCACATAGGCCAACACCCACCTTGTCTGCAAAAAATGAGCAAGCAGATGTACAATGAAGCTTAGAAGAGTCTTTCTAAAGTACTCGGCCCTTGCTGACCTGAGAGGTATTAGGGTTGCAAAGCTCAGCTTGTCAGAGGCTGTCCCCCATTACCTGTAAACTTGTGGCTACCTGAGTGAGCAGGGACGAGGCTTCTTGACTGTGTGTCCCAGTAAACAGTTTGGCACAGCCACATGTAACTCTCTGCCCCAGTAGGGATGAACAGAGCAGAGGGACAGTGTTGCATGGTAAAATTTGCAGGAATCCCTGCCCCTTATGACATCTTTCCTTTACATAGCTGTTTCTGAGCCATCTGGGGTATTAGGGAAGGGTCATTCAGAGACCCTCAAGGGAGAGGACAGGGAACCCAAGCCTCCTAAAAGTGGCTCTTGTTTGTCCTGTTAACTCAGAAGCAGCAGCCTGGAGCTGGTGGAGAAGTCAGACTGGGGTTTGCATCCTGGCCTGGTCACGAAGTAGATCTCCGACTCTGAAACCTGTGCTACTTGAATTTCTTCCCCAGGATTTGAAGGGACATTTCTTCTTCCCAGAGTTCTCTGGGAAGATTTAGTGGGATTTGATGGAACAAAGAAGTGGGCATGGGCTTGATGAGGTTGGATGCTTGGTCAGTGGGCTGGGTCCAAAAGCAAGCCCTGAGGGCAGAGGAGGACCAGGAGGGCCAGTGTTCTTTCCTACTTGTGGTTGCTCAAAGAGTAACTTGGGGATCTTTGGGAAAGGCCATCTATACTCTGAGAACTGGAGTTGGGACTGCTTAGAGGCTGCTGCATGAGGCAGGCTAGCCAAGCCTTGCTGTGCGTAGAATTGCTTGAGAATCATTTCTAATGTCTTGTTGGGCTGGTGCTTGGAAACTTAAGTGGATTCTTCATAAGGGGAGGAATAGGATGAGAGAAGCAGTAGGAGTGGCATTTATTGAGCATTTAACATACTCTAAGTGTTACACTAAGTTGTTCATAACCATTCTATTATTTAAGCTTCACTGTAATCCCATGAAATAGGTACCAAATTTCCATATTATAGATGAGCTCAGAGTCAGAAAGATTTACCTGCTTGTCCAGGATCACCCAGACCAACACGTGGGAGAATACAGAGCTTCTGACTCCAAAGTGAAAGTGCCCCTTGGGACAGGCCTGCCATAATTTTGATCTTATATTAAGTATGAGAAAACATGGACAACCACTCCCAGTGTAGTATGTGAAATTTAACTTCCTCTGCTTAGTGGAGACATGAGGACCACCCAGAGCAGCTGCCCATGTGTGTTCTCACTTGAATCTGTGTGCACCGGGTGGTGTTATATGGTGTATCCATATTTTTTTGTTTTATTGCTGAAGTATAAATGGTAGGCCCACCTGAACTGTGTGTATAGGTGGGGACGAACTGCGCATGTGCCTCAGGCTGAGTAGAGGCATTGACTGTGTACCAAGCATGGAAGAGAGTCAGAGAGGGGACAGAGTGCCTAAGTGCTGTGTCCCGAGTATCTTGACAGAAGGAAGACCACGTAGAGTAGTCACCTCTGTGCCAAGGATAGAATCCTCCCATTGCACACATCCCCAGCTCCTTGGGCCTCAGTGGCACCTGCACCTCACAGAGCAGGGAGGAAAGGGCTGCTCTGGCGGGAGGAGGAAGGGGAAGGAACAGTTTAATGGCGAGGAGGAGTAAATTCAGGCAGCAGAGTTCCATCCTGCGGGAGGACTGAGCCCCTCTAACCCCTCTCAGCTCTGTCCCTGCCTCCTCATGTGTCTTAGGGCCCGTGAATAGTGGGCTCTGGGCTCTGACACAAGGCCGTTCACCCAGTCTGACTGTCTTTCTGACCTGGCAGGGCTTCCCTGTTGTTTTTTCAGGCTGAGGTAGCCCAGCTACAGGAGCAGGTGGTCCTGAAAGATGCAGAAATTGAGCGCCTGCACTGCCAGCTCTCTCGGACTGCAGCTCTCCACAATGACCACACAGACAGAGGTGACTGGATTGACTGTGACAGAACACACTTGTCCTGGGCCCTGGGCTCGCTCTTATGTATGTGCATGCGTGCGTAGGTATGCTGATGTGTGAGCTCATGCTTCTACGTGAGTGAACTGTCCAAGTAAGTGGATGTCCATGCATGTCCGAGTGGGAGCCTGTATGACACAGCTTTATTGTGTGGAGTCAGGCCACGGACTTCACCCTTTTCCAGAAGTCAGCTTGGAATGCTATCCTTAAACATTAAGAGTAAACTGAAGCTTTATGTGGCCCCTTCTGGAGCTTTTACCAAGAACATAAGAAATACCCAACTCTTTCCTTCATTGAAAAGCCTTGTTTCTGTGTTAGTGCCAACGAGGAAGCTTAGCAGTCTGTTCCACCTGGCATCTGCACAAGACCCTGAAGTTGCAAATCATTTCTTTCTCACCCTTTAGACCTCAACATATAAGTCCTTCTTTGGAAAGGCTTTTCCTTGCTGTCCTACCCCAAGTAGATCCCCCCAAGTTCTGTTATTCTCTGACTCAGCATCCTTGTTTCCTTGCTAGTACTTATAAGTTACCAGTGTTATATTTTGAGAGGTGTTGGGTCATTCCCACTCTGAGGCAGACTGGTTTAAGAACAAGTCTGCAGAGCTGGGTATGGTGGTACATGCCTATAATCCCAGAACTCAGGAGGAAAGTTCAAGGCCAGCCTGCACTACAAAGTGAGCTCATGGCCAGCCTGAACTGGGCAGCATGAGATGCTGTCTCAAAAAAACAAAACAAAACAACAACAACAACAAAAGGAACAATTCTGCAGAGCTTACCCAGTACTATTAACAAGCATTGTATATGTGGCGGTGTACCGTGTATGCAAAACGATCACACACCTTCCAGCTTCTCCACTTCATATCTTGGCTGCTGGCCGTCACAGAGCTCATACACCCTGTGGATTGGTGCCACTGTCTGTCCCACTTTGGCCCCAGCACCGCTTAGCTTAGCATGGGTCCAAGCTGGGGTGGGAAGGCCACACATCCCTACAACATTTTTTAAGCTTAGGCTTAAAAAACTAATGAAGGACAAGCATCCTCCTGCCTCCCCCAATCTTGCACCGGTGTCCTGCCAGGGCAGCGGATGCATCAACTGCCTGCTGAGGCCAACCTATTTAGACTAGGACATTCAGAACCAGCTCATGTTCCAAGTCTGGTAGAGAGTTCCTGGCACCATAACTTCAAGCCTGAGCAGCGACTTCCTTGGTCCAGGCCTTCCAGCCCCTTATCATGTACCACCTGGAGCTGGCCCTTTGGTCACTTGCCAGTCATTTGGGTTCTGAGCAATAAGTCCAGGTTTGCTGATCATCATCTGGAATTTACCTCCTGTACCTCTCACAGACTGAGATGCCAACCTGATGTCAATTTTAAAGTGTTCTTTACTCCACTAGGAGACCAAATCCCCGTAGCTGTTCAAGCATTGTCCATACACATACTATTCTGTTGATACTGATTATAGCAGGTATCCAAAAGGAGACAGGAGGCCTGCACATTTGTTCCCTTCTCTTCTGCATTTTTCAATGCAGACATTTCTATTTTCCTGGGAATACTCAGTTTGGGAGCAGTTATAGGTCCCTCTGGAAAATTCAGGTATATGCCAATCCCTGTACCCTAAATGTCTCAAAGGACCTCCAGTTTCTTCAAGCACTGGCCTTTTCCTTGGCTCTTCAGACAAGTTTGGGAAGAAGTCAAGTGAGTCCCAGTTGGGTCTAAAGTGAGAGAATAGCACAGGTTTTCTGACACTGATCACCAAACCTTTGCCCAAGAGGAAATTCTTTAGGCTGATGGTGAAATAAGAGTTTCCCCTTAATCACAGAGTTTATTTTAACTGATTTATTGGTACATCTAAACGTTTTAAAGTGATGACTATATCATCTTAAATTAAGCTCAAACTTTTATAAGTGATTAACCACAGCCTTTATTCACCTGTAAGACATTTTTCTTTCTTTTCATGTATTTATTTATATATTTATTTTATTTTTTAATGTATTTTTAGTACAGAGTCTCACTACACAGATTGGACTCGTAGTGATCCTCTTGTTTTCAGCCTCCCAAGTGCTTGGGCTTACAGGCATGCACCACCATGCCCAGTCTCAATCACTTTCTCAGCGTGTCCCGGGGGTGGGACCAGCATAGCAGGCCCAGGGATTGAACCCCAGCCCCTGCTCTCTGCCTAAGCAGGTGCTTTAGTCTGCTGAACTATCTGGCCAGCCCTCTTTCTTTAAATTGTCCTCCACTTTTAGTCTGTTCAGCTGCATGTTTTTCTCCAAAACCTTTCAGCAGCCTAGACATATGCTGATATAGAGCAATAACATCTATATTCTTAGAAGATGTTGATTATGAAAGATTTTTGGCTTCTCTGTGTCACTTTTGAGTAAATGACATTTTAATTTTTCCCATGTATGTGTATAAAGAAAAAAAAACAAAAGAGTAGATCCATTATTAGTAGTCTAAAAATATTTAATGAGACCATCCCTGTGCCCAATTGCAACCCCAAGTTCTTAAAATAAAAGAGCCCTGAGCACTGTACAGATTTCCAAGTCTGAACATGTGGGGGTATCTTAGCATAGAAGAGTGGCTCTCAGTATTTACAGAAGTAATTCTTTCTGTACCTAAATTCTTTTAGACCAAGAAATTCAACGTCTGAAAATAGGCATGGAAACATTGCTTCTTGCCAATGAAGATAAGGTAAGATGGTCATTTGATCATCCTGTGCTTTCCTTGTTGACGTCTCTAGCTCAGCCTGGGCCCTGCTTGTCTGCTTCTCTGGACAGAGGGGTCCCCAACAGGCCACTGACACAGGGCGGGGCCGAGAGCAGCTTTTGCCTTCTAGAGACTCAGCGCCAGTGCTTGGTGTTCACTTTGGTGCCTGGGAACTTTGCCTAAATGGGAATCTCCAGAAGGCAAACTAGAGCTCTGCCTGTCGATGTGAGCATGGGGAAGCACTACCACTGTGGTTATAATCAGCGTGATAGCGCCTGCCTCGATTGTCATACAACTCAAGAAGCGTCCCACCAGTCTCCCACATACACAACCTGTTTCTGTGACAGAAGCGTCATAAAAGCGCTTGGCCACACGCGGTGCCTCACTTTACCCTGCCACCTTATATTCTTCTCAGCTCATTCCTGCATAATCATAGAATAACCACATGTAAATGCAAAGCACTTAGCTATGATCAATATATCTGAGAACCCTAATGCTGCATTTTACAGATGAGGAAACAGACTCCAAGACCACCTTATATGCCAAGCCTGGGTAGAGAGGCTTTTGCCCAGAGTCAGGTAACTAATGGATAGCAGGGCCAGGGTTCATACCCAAGTATATCTCATTGCAGTCTTCCTAAGTCCCTGGATACTTCCCTTTTCCCTTGTAAGAACTGATCCCCCATGGGGATTTCTTCTGTTGTGCAGCATTTCTCAGACTCATAAGGAATGGGTGAGGAGAGCAGGATAAATACAACAACTTTGTTGTAGTATTTTGTTTAGCTACGGAGGGCAGCACTGAAGCAGGGGACAGATTTCATCAGTGGCTACTTGAGGAGTGTGACGGTTCATGAGGTGCATGTTCTGCAAGTGTGGAAGCCCCTCGAAGGGTATGTCAGTGGTCGGTGCCCACAGCCCTCAGGTAGTCATGTCTGCAGCTGCCTCTGAGGCAGATTTCTGGGCCCCAGTGCTGTAGGATGGATGGGCCCATTGTCTCTTTTCTTTGGGGTGCTCCAGACTTGCCACCTGGAATTTCTTCTCAACGTGCCCAGGATATAGACGGGCCCCCAAATGAAATCAGCTGAGGTAGCAGTGGTAGTGTAAATTTAAACTTGCTCTCATTTGAACCACGGCAGGACCGTCGCATAGAGGAACTTACGGGGCTGCTGAACCAGTACCGAAGGGTGAAGGAGATTGTGATGGCAGCTCAAGGTGAGGAAGTGCAGCGTCTCCCCTGAAAAATATTCCATCTTCTTGATTACCTCTCAGGACAATTCGATCAGATTCTTTATCTTCATTTGGAAAAGATCTACTGGGGGAAAAAAAATGGAGCATTTAAATTGTCCTTGGATGTGGGAAATTGGCAGCTTTTGTTTTCTAGAAATTTTATCAAGTGGCAGTCAGAATTTCTAGGAACCACCCAGAGCATCAAGAAACTAAAGGATTCAGCTTTATGTGTGGAGAATTCTCACCCCTGGAGGGCTGCCTACACATCTCTTCAGGATACTACTTAGAGACAGAAAGTGGAGTCAAATCTGGATCAGAAATCAGTTTATGCCCTCGATGGGGATTGGAGCTTGTCCACCGCTTAGAAATCTGGAGCTCTGGGATGACTCACAGGGTGCCCGAGAGCCTTCCTGGAATTGCCTGGCACCTGGGTGCCAAGTGAGTCGCAGGAAAGGCAGGCTATGCTCATCACCATCCCCTCAACCCAGGCGGAAGTCACAGGATAGCACGAGGTCATTCTATTCAGTGAATGGCCCTCAGAATTGAAGGGCAGAGTGGAGGCAAGCGGAGGCTGCGGCTCAGGCCTGTGTTCTGGTTGGGGCCAGCTTGGGAGGAGCCTGGAACTTTCAAGGCTAGGACTTCTCCTTTTGAATCAGGGAGCGCTGTGGGTGTCACACTTGCCAACAGCCTGATACAACACGCAGGCAGCATCTGTGCTCTTTGGGGCACAGTGGTACGTAGCCCAGGCTGCCTGCCTTGTTACTCATGCCACTGATTGGGTTCTGATAACATGAAGAACGAGGTGTTTCTTAAGATAGAGCTATTTTTGAGGTGTTTAAGAACCTCTGATTCTGACTAAGTTATTGCTCTTCTTGAGAAAGAACAAGATGTCCTGGGTTCTAGCCAGCCCTAATATAAATGTTGCAAACCTCTTTTCCTTACTTCTTTATGATCTTGGGCCAAGGCACTTTCAAGGCCTGACAGCCCATGGCCAAGAAATAGGTTAAAGGCAAGAGGTGCCTTACCTCTGTTCCAGGGATCATCTTTGACCTTGAAATGACCCTCGTGACAGCCCTTCCTTGCTCAAATGCCTTAAGAATTTTCCAAATCACATTCTTGATTTCCCTTCATACATTTATTAACAAAGGAGAAATGGTTACAGTTTTGTGGTAAAATGAAAACTTTCTGAACAATTCAGACAGTAATTGTCTTGATTCCTTTTTTGTTGCGGGGGCGCAACACTGGACACCCACAGTATAAAAGAGGAGAGTTTTACTCTGCCTCACATTTTTAGTGGCTCATTCCAAGGTCAGTCAGCTCCCAGGCAGAAATGGTGTGGTGGAAGGACTGGCAGAGGAACGTTGCTTGCTTCATGGTAGCCAGGAAGAAGAGAGTGAAGGGAAGAGCTAAACAGGGAGATCAACCCTTCCCCATCACGCACCCAGTGACCCCTGTGCCCAGCTCCTGACAGCAAGTGAACTGAGGAGTCAGGGGATTAACCCACTGGCATGCCACAGCCAGTCACCTTCCAGAATCCTATGGCTAACACCTCTGAGGGTTTTACAGAACATTCTAGAGCTAAACCATAGCAGCAGTGATCCTCTACTTCTGCGTTAATGCTTCCAGGGCCTTCCGAGAGAACTCCTTCAGTCAATGAAGAAGAACTGGAGGGAAGCTTCAGGAAGTGGAACACTGCAAATAAGGGCTCTGAAGAACTGTTAAAACAAGAGGTACCATGTTTCCATCCAAGTACGGGGTTACAGCAGCCTGCAGAGCATGCTCTTAGCCTAGAGGAAGATCCAGTCAGGCACCTGTTACGTTCACTATGAGTAATGATGTCTGTGGAACAGTACTAGCTTAGTAATAGCCTAGAACTTTCAAGGGTAGGACTTTCTCCTTCTAATCAGGCTCTTTGTTTACTTTTTTCTTTCTTCTCTGGAATGTAAATGTAGACTAAAGGTAGCATTCATTTTGTTTACCACTATTTCTCCTGAATCTGCAGTATTCTGCAGAAGTGAGGAAGAGAATTTAGCAAATACATGTTGAGAGATATCTGCAACTTTTGAAGTGATCCATTTCTGTTTCACAGATATCTCTTCAGCCCCATAGTCAGCACCCAGGTTTCCCTTCTCTGATTTAAAATGTGGTCCTATCATACGAATTTCTGTATGCTTAGACTAAAGATTAAAGATAAAGGAGCAAACAAGCTCCTGAACACAGACCTCAGGTAGAAGGGACTTCAGCCTGTGGGCAGGAAGGTTCATGAAATTCTAGAACAGTTTTGTAGAAAAGGACTTGAGAGTCCACCTCAGTCCTTTGAATTAAGAGCACACAATGAACCTGCTGCTGGGACAGAAGCACCCCACATTTTTGGCAGTAACAAAACAACAATAGCCAGGGCTCGCTCAGCATCTCTATGGGGGTCCCTGATATTTGAACTGTATGTGGCTCCCCTGTCTACTCCTCATGGAACCTCACTGGATTCTTAGTATATTGTGCTCTAGCTGAGGACTGATGAATTTTAAGCAACATACTCCAGGTCATACTGCAAATGGATGGCAGAACCTGAACTCTAACCTAAGTGTGTCTGACCACAAAACCCAGCTATGCTAGAATGTAGGAGTCCCTTCCTGGTTTTTGTCTCAGTCCAAGAAGTTAATATTTATAATCTCAAAGATACATTATTGGAATCCCACCAACTTAATTCCAATCTACCACTCCCAGTGCAACCTACAGCAAAAGTAAAGACACTAAAACATACTGGAGAGCCAAGGGGCCCAAATTCCAGCCATGAAGATGGCTTTCAGGAACAAAGAGGCTGACCTAGGGCCATACCCAGGTTTTATTCAGTGGAGGAGGAGTGGCTTGAGGAGGAATGACCAAGTATTGTGGGAAGTAGGTGAGTACTGTGAGCTGAGCTAGGTGGGTGGCCTACATTTACCTCTGCCATGAGCAGAGAGGATACACAGAGAAAGTAATCTGCTTTATGCTATTGAGATAGTATCTAATGTTTTGGGGGGTCTGGTGCTTCAGCTTTGATGTAGTCTTTCAAGCCCCAGGAAGTCATAGCCTCTGTCTTGAGACTCAATTCCAGCTGGCAGTGCGGAGCATTGGCTCTTCTGTCCTGTCTCGACCCAGTTCACATTAAAGAGCAGCAGGTGTAGATTACCAGGGAAACACATATGCCACCTTCAAAGACTGTCACCAGCACCTTAGCTAGACCAATATACATTGCTTAAGGCCGACTGAAGGACAAACAGAAGTCCTAGCCAGCTCTGTACAGAACAATACAAGGAAATAGGGTCGGGCTCAGTCAAAATAGAGACAGTCGCTCTTCTTTCAAGGAGAGCTGCTCAGGTGGTCCTCCACACTAGAATGCTAGGGTTCTTTCTACAAGAAACCAAAACAACTGTGCTACAGGGAAAAGAGGACATTGTTGCAGTCAGTGCAGCACTGAAGAAGCCCCTGTTAGCTAATACTTGCTACCCTGACATACTCTTTTCTGCCTTCGTGGTGAGCTCATTCCCATGTGACCTTCCCTCCAAGGCCTTCTCAACATTCCCCACCCTTCCCTCTGTCCCCTGATGTGTCACAGATGTCAGAGTCATAGGACAGGTGGCTTGGCTGTTTCATCCTTGCTTCACCGTGTGCCTTCCAGCTATGGGGTGTGCTTGCCCCTCGCCTGACACAGAGATGGCAGACAATAGATGTTGCCCATATTTCTTAAGTGACTGTATCACTAGCATTCTCCCTTTCCAGCCACAGAATTTGACTCTGGTTAACCTAAGCCACAATGGAATGGTTTTGAAAGAGTATGTAGTGACTCATAGAATGAAAGGAAACACTGGAAAGCCAAGCTCAGAAAAGTCAGCAGCAGCAAGAGCCTAGGGACCCGTGCTGCAGCCTTCTACTGATAGGGTAAGGACTTCCTCTAAACTCTGGGGATTAGGAAGGAAAGGCAAGTTGTTGTTAATTGTCTAAACTCTGGGGACTAGGAAGGAATCCTAATGGCTACTACCTGGATAGTTCCTCTAAAATTAACCAATTTCTAAATTGCTATAATCTTTCTTTATATGTTTTCAAATTTAGTGCCAGGTGAGGAAAACGTGGAGATTTTACCACTAGGTTTCAGCCCAGGAGTCTGGGGAAGATGGCTGCGGCATGACAGAAACGTCCTCAGAATAGTGCTGACTCTTCAGTTCTAGAGTTTGTCCTGTCAGAGCCCCATTTCTGGAGAACAGTTGTTCTCGCAACAACTGTTGTTGTTGTTGTTATTATTATTTATTAATTTGTATTATTTCTATGCCTACCCGCTTGGCATCTTCAAAGAGCAAGGTGTCATTTTGATGTATCCACCTTGACTATATCCAGGAGTGAAAACATGGCTCCCGAAAGGAAGCATCCTAGGAAGAAGGAAGGGTCGGTCCCCAGATAGTAGCTTTCCTCTCTGGTATCCCTTCTTTTTTGTTGCAGATGCCTCCAAAATGCAGCTCTCCCAAGGTGGGGCCCCCGCCCCTGCCACAGAAGTCATTGGAAACCAGGTAGGAGACTTGAGCGTCTGTCTAGAGTCTCTGTGCTTGCAGGCCCCTTTTGGGGTTCCTGAAGTGAGAGTTAGTCATGTGTGCTGAGCCTCGCCTCTGCTCTGCACACACCCGCCCTGCCACTGTCAGGGCGTCATCAGTGAGGCCTACCTCTCCTGGCCACAGAGGGGCTGCCTTTCTTACAGGCTGAGGACTGGATTATTATAACTGAGGAAAGACCTTGCCAGAGGTCTTGGAGCCTCAGAGAGGAGGTGTCTCCAGCTCCTTTATGCCTTCCGGTGGCTTCTTGGGATGAACTGAGTCCTTTGACTACCCAGTCATTATAAGGAGGATCATTTCTTTTCACTGGGAAGTTAGTCCAATGGCTTTGGTAACAGCATACTTACAAGGTGCTGGCTTGTAGGATCGTTGGCTACCTGGATGGTTCCTCCAAAATTAACCAATTTCTAAATCACTATAAATGTTTTCAAATTTAGTTTCATGTGAAGAAAATATGGAGATTTCACCACAGGTTTCAGCTCAGGAGTCTGAGAAGATGGCTACAGCATGACAGAACCTTTCCCAGAATAGTGCTGACTCTTCAGTTCTGGGGTCTGCCTGTCAGAGCTCAATTTCTGGAGAACAGTTGTTCTCCCAAGGCTTAATTAAGCCCCACAGAAAAATGGCAGTATCTGAGAGCATATATGGCCAGTTGTAACTTTTGCAGAACAAGAAATTAATGTATAGTTCATTTGGGAACTTAACAATGAGGAACTCATACTGACCAGACTTACAAGAGACTAAAATATAAATAAACGCTGATTTATTTCTACAAACTAAGAAATACAATTGCCAAGGAAACTTGATGCCAAGTCACCCTTGCGGCCCCTGGTGACACAGTCTCTTCTCTCCCTTTTGGTCCTGCATCTGCAGAATCCCCCCTGTGCAGACACAGTTCTGCTGAGCAGGCTGCTCACTGTGTGCGGGGCTGGAGGACCCAAGCCAGCGAAACTTTGGATTTGTGGCTGGCGGGTACTTAATTGATTAATTAATTAATTGGTATAGAGTCTTGCTGCACAGCTTAGACTCCTAGTGATCCTCCTGTCTCAGCCTCCCCAGCACTGGAATTACAGGTGTGCACCACAACATCTGGTTTCTGTTGGCTGGCACGGTGTGTGGCCATTGCTGGGCATTGAAGCTAGGTCCTTGTGCTTGCCAGGCATAAACTTAGACTACCAAGCTATCCCCTAGCTCCACTCCAGCTTTTCAAGCAAGGCCTAGGACTTTTCACTGGAATCAAAAGCCCTCACCAACATATTGTTGGGCCAGGCTGCTTCCCAAAATGAACCAGTCTGTCTTACATATTGCCGACTGTGAAAGGGCATTTTTTCTTTAATGTCCTGACCTTTACTCTGAGCTCAGGACGGACAACTGATTAAGCACAAGGAATGTCCTCTATGTGTTGTACCTCCTTCTCTAGTAATTATTTCTTTGTTTTATGCTTGTCTAGAGCTCAGAAAAAGCTCTCCTGTAGTCTAGAAGACTTGAGAAGTGAATCTGTGGATAAGGTCAGTCATCAGTCTACCCACAAAGACTACTTTTCTGGGCCCATCACAATGCTAGCATAGTGCAGGTGAATGCTGGTGCTTCCCTTGGAGAGAAATCTATACAGTGGCTGGGGAGGCAGGATTATAAGAATATTCTTAGCAAAACAGACAGGTTGGCCCAAGGAAATCTTGAGAACAGGATCAGCCAGAAAATGCTGGCTGAAGTTGATAAGAGTGTGGTTGTGGTGGCCAAAGACTTGTTAAAGTCTGGTAGGTTCTGGCAGGTTTTGGAAAATGATGGGGGAGCAGAAGGAAAGTCAGCCACGCATCAGATCAAGCCAGAGAAGATCCAGACCACTGGTCCTATCTTCCAGGGCCCTGGGCATCGTTGTGGAAATTTTGCATGAAGAAGTAATGGGAACAAAGGAGGTGATCCCAGCAGTCAGAGCTGGAGTAACTTAGAAGATTGAGAGACCACTTATTAAAAATATCTGGAAAAGCTGTGAAGAGGGCTTAGTGGCCTCTTTCTTGAGAAGAGCTCTTAACCATGTCTGTGGGCTCTATGCTGGAGCGAACAAGGACTCTTGCCCCAGTCGGGGCTCCTGCAGGCCCATGCTGTACATCATCTCCTGGAGCCAGTGGAGTGCCACGTCCCTAGTGACAGTGAAGAGCTGTGCAAGCTGGAGTTGGCAGGAGGGTGCTTTGCTCCCATGGCCACGTGCTTCTTGTGACCCTGGTCAAATTGGTAGCAGCTACTCAAGATATTGGACAGGGACTTGTACTTATTGCCATGGATAGTAATATGTGAGGCGAAGGTGTGTGTGTGTGTGTGTGTGTGTGTGTGTGTGTACGCACGCGTGCATGTACCCAAGTGCCCCTTTCAGGCATTAGCGGACAGGTAGTCCTGAGTTTTTGTTTGTGACTAACACGGGTCTCTTTTTCTCCACACAATCAAATCTTCGTCACTCCCAGTGTGTTAATGGGAACCAGCTCTCTCCTGTGGTAGAACCCAAGGTACGTTAACTTCGTGTCTATTACCTGTCTGTGGTGGTGCTGCTTGCTAGAATGTTGTAGCGAGCTCTAGCTCTGGAGCCATAACATATGTTAACCATAAAAGATAAGAAGGAATTAAGAAAAGTGAAGTTCTTTTCCCCCATTACACCTTTACGTGCACTCACTCCTGTGTCTAATGTGCTTTTACTGCCGTTACTTGTGGGATAGGATTTGTTATTATCCCCTCCATGTTATAGCCTTGGAGAAATTACTCTTGAACAATGTAGTTGTTAATAGATTTAATTGCTAAGAAGGAAGATGCAGCGATCTTAGCACCCACAAGAGTGTGGCAGTTCTCGTCCTTCCTGTGCAGCTGTGTCACATTAACAAACATGAGAGGACACCGAGTCCCCCTGTAGTGAACACCTTGCGTTATAAAAATTCCATTAGTACTGATTTTCTCCTAGGAAGTCTGTTGTGGAAGATGATTAAGTTTCCAGATCGGTGCACAAATGCTAAACCTATAATAAATTGAAGCTTTATATGATTAGCGTGATTTCAGCCACACCCAGCCACCATTTAGAGCATCATATGGGAAAGGTATCGGGCGCAAGCCTCTCTGTCTTCTGCTTTCCCCATGTAGGCTTCAGTTTGGTTTGGTTCGGTTCAGTTCTGTTCCTTTCAATGTATTCACACCAATATGCCAGAATGGGACATCCCTACCCTTCAAGGTGTGTAAGAGGAAGGTCTTGTCTGCTCCTCTACTTCTAGCAAAGGGACTTCTCTGCCCTTTCACATTTGTAGCAGTTGGTGCTACAGTTAGGCAGCCATGCTAACTTGGACCATCTGAACTATAGAGCCAAAGTTTGCCTGACCCGCTGTCCCTGTGCTTTGGATACACAGTCCCTTGGCCCTTGAGGCCACAGTTCCTGTGATCTCTCGACAAAAGTCTTGGTTTGGAGACTGTGACATCTTCTACCCAGCTGGCCCCCAGCCTGTTCGCCTCCCAGAGGCCGCTCACAGATGTTTCCAGGCACGGGAGGAAGGGTCTGTCTGCTCTTTTGGAAGCACAGTTCTCTCATGGGCCCTAACTTGGAGACGTGGATTTGATTACGAAGAAATCTGAGTGATGTGGGAATTCTTCATAAAAAAGAAAATATAAATATTGTGGATTAAAAATTTGATTCTAAATATAGCTTTGACCACAATCAGTAATCTTCAGCTTAGTTCAACATGGCCACCTCTTTAAACACACGCACACACTCATGCACGCACGTATGCCCCAACTATACTCCCGTTGCCACTCACAGGCGCGGTGCCCTTTCTGCATCAGCATCTTGGCCTTGCTTCAGTGTGCTCTTGTGTTCTGCATCTGAGCCTGTTCCATGCTAGGCCTCCTTGTATGCTTTTCCAGCTCTGAATATTAGACATGTCTTTTGAACTTCTCTAGAATTACATCCCCTGACCTGCCCCTCCAGTGCTTTCAGTGAATTTTTGCTACTATGGACAGCTCCAGAATCAGTTTCCTCCAGCTCCTTCCAAATGCTCTGATTTCTGGGCTGACCATCTGCCCTTGTTCATGGATCCCCAGCCTGAAAAGCAAAAGTTTCATGAAGGATTCTCTTTCAGTTGTGCCTGGGGCCACACTTGGGTATGATTTCTAGATGCCATCTGACCCATGCCTCCCTTAATCTAGGGGCAACTCTTGTAGACTGCCGTCACACTAGAGCTCAGCATGTTATTTTCTGTGTTTCTGTTTGTCTGCTGTCCACTGAGCACTAGTCCGGTGCTTAACTGTTTCACACTAAGCCAGAGGCAGGAATTAGTCTTCACTTCTGTGTGTAGAAATGACAAGACAGAGGTTCTGAGAAGTAGAAGACAAGAGCATCGCCTGTGCCATCTGCACTTGGTCTGGGGGCGTTTGTGCTGACACCGCCAAAACCTGCTTTTGAGAGCCCTTTGCCGTCCCATATTTTGTGTGTGATATGGAACTAGAGTCATTCCCTGCAGTTCCCAAAGCTTTTTGGATGCTGCTTTCCCACGGTCAGTGGTTCCTGGGGCTGACTGTGTATCACAATAATCTCAGACGCTAGTTAAAAGCACAGACTGCTGGGGTGTGCTCCCGAGGGGCTGATTCACAGGGCTGGGAGGGCAGTGGGGAGTGTGTTGCTTTTGCAGTGTGCCAGGTGAGTAGGAACCGGCCCTGGGGAGCTGTTGATCTTGCCTACGTGTCTGATCTCGTCTCCCTTGTATCTCACAGATCAACGCAAACTTGAAAATCTCGTAGGCTTCATCTCTCCAGGTTCTGATTACTTCTCCTCACTGGCCAGTGTTTTCAGAATTCTTAGCTTTCTGTCTCCATAGCTCTTTTTTCTGAATCTATTTTGAGGGGGTTATTGTCAATGTTCAGCAAATGAGCTGGGTATCATACAATCATATATTGTTTGGTTAAACAAGAATGTAATGACATGCATTTATAAACAAAGTGAATTTGGAAATGTATTGGTCATTTGACTTTTAGCTAAATGAAACTTCACAAGATGGCTCCAGGGGGCCAGGGAGATAGCTCAGCAGCATAAGTGTCTGCCCGGCAAGTACAAAGTCCCAAGTTTGAGCCTCAGTACAGTAAATAAATAAATAAATAAATAAATAAATAAATAACAGCTCTGTCACAACAGTCTCACCTCGTTCCTGTCCTGACTATTCTTGTCTCAGAATCTATTTTGTCTTTCGTGTTACTTTGCTCCTGGGCCCAGTCAAGTGATCCACAGCTGATTCCCTCAATGCTGTTACTTCAGTTTCTCTCTTGCTCTCACCATAGATTCTGTTTTGTTCCCCCTGGGTTTGCAGATATATGGGTCATTATGTCCTTGTTTAACCAAACAAATTGTATTCTTCTTTCTTTTTAAATCAACTTTTGCTTCTTTGGGATACTTTATGTAGCCAGGGCCCAAGCATGGCGCCTGTTCACTGAAGCGGTAGTTCACAGTTCCTAGGGGATGTCTGTGTTGGCGTGCAGCCAGTCCCTGCTGGTGTTCTCCTCAAGTGTGTGTGACACTTGGTGCTTTGCCTTAACATGATGCTTCTCAGAAGAACTGTTGTCACAGTATGGACTTGATTGATTGATTGAGACAGAGACTTGATATGTTTCAGACTAGCCTCTAACTTGTTATGTAGCCCAGGCTGGCCTTAATCTCAAGAATCTCCTGCTTCAGCCTCCCAGAATGCCAGGATTATAGGCATATCTCACCACAACTGACTCAGATGTTTTCTTTTGTTGCTTCAAATTTGAACTTTTTTTTTTTTTTTTGGCGTGGAACCAGGGATTGAACTCAGGCCCTTGTGCTTGCCAGGGAAGCACTTAATTCTACTCAGCCATCTCCCCGGCCCCAAAATTTGAACTCTTAATTCGCCTCATATAGCATGGATTTCTCTTAGTCAAGCCCCACATAATTTATGTACCTGGCTAAGCTCTTGCAGAAGTCTGCCCTGACCTGGTATAAGTGAAGGTGTTAGCTAAAGCACCTCTGTATTGGCCACTAAAGGAAGTCTAGGATAGCAAGGAAACCCTGCCCTTCCTTCAGGAGTGTGTGTGTGTGTGTGTGTGTGTGTGTTCAACCATACATATATGAGATAAGGCACTAGATAGCAAATTCTGGTAAGCAGTAATTCACGGCTATTAACTCAATTAGCCTCTGAGCACCAGGCCATATGACACAGGTTCCACTTTGCAAGACAGATCTATTTTTCTACTTCCTGCTTGAAAGCAGTTGCATGCAACCCTCCATTTGCACTTTGCTCCATTCCTGCCTCTCTGTGGATAGCTTTCCTCCTACTTAGAACTCTGGTCTTCTCTCCAGACACAGTCTCTGAGTCAGGGGTTGTGGAAGAATAGGAAATTGTTCAGGAAATCCAGGGAAGGATTCCCTGGTGAAGTTTGAGGCTGAGTCTGAGGGCTAATTCTGCATCCCTCCGTCTCTCCTTCCCATAGGACAGCCCTTTGCTGGTGGAGCAAAAATATCCTACATTACCTGGGAAGCTTTCAGGAGCCACGCCCAATGGAGAAGCTGCCAAGTCGACCCCCATCGCCTCCCAGGCTGACTCCTCAGGCAGCAACCTGCTAAGGCTGAGTGAGTTCTTGCCTCTGACACTTTAGGTCACTGCAGCTCACAGTTGAAAATGGTGGGCATCAGGAGGGCCTGGAACGGGTTGTGTCCCACAATAGTCCCCCCTTTGTACCTCACAGCACAGGCTGGGCAAGCTGTTTCCTAAGGTCAGCACTTTGGAGTCTTAACAGAAAGCAGGCTCTGTATGCACCCTGTCTTGTCTAGCTGTAGTCGCCCCATTTTCTTACTGTCTTCCATTTCTCTTCTGAACCCCTGAGGGTCCTTTCCTCCACTCTTTTCCTTCTCAACCTCCCTCCCAACTCTCCCGTCCCTTACTCTTCCTCTACTGTCTGGCTTCTTCTCTGTCACCACCTACTCTGTAGCTCTTCTGTTACCAGCAAGATGATAGTCTGGGCTCTTCCAAGTGAGAGCAGTTCTTCAACAAAAAAGGCAGTGGCTGGGGATGAGAATGTCAGTCCACTGCTATCCTTTTGGAGGGTGGGACCTGGAACCACGCAGCCTCTGCTGCATTTCATCAAGACAGACTTTCCTCTAAAGCAACAGTAGACTCAGGGGCCCCAAGGTGGGAATGCTGTGGTCCTGGCAGCACTCTTGCCAGTCTGACTCCTGTCCTTGCCACTCTGTGAGCCAGCCTGCGAGTCGGCTCGAGAAGGCCCGCTGTGCTGGGACAGCAGCTCAGATGAGCCCTGAAAGCTGTGTCAGGTGGTGCTCAGCCCAGACACTGGTCTGAGTGAGCCCTGGCACATGAGAGCTCCACATGGCCCTCCACTCAGCCCTCCCTCCCCCCCAGTCTCCGCAAAGCAGCACCAGAAGCATTCGACCCCTCCAGGGAGGCTTTCTCTCAGTTCTTTAATGCTGTGGGCATGGCTCAGTGACCATTATCCCTACCACTCTTCTTGGAATTATTTTTCTTTCTGTTTGAGATTTTCTCTCTTGTTTGCTGATGCTGTTTTGTTTATATCTTTGCTTCCCTGTAACTCTGTTGGGCTGGACTTTGGCCTCTTGTTCCTTCATATGGCTTCTCTGCTTCTTGGTTGGCTGGAGATCATGGCCGGAGTGTCAGTGCCCCCGTATTAGGTACTGTACCTGTTCCAGGTGAGGTGGGGAGTGAGAATGCTTTTGTTCCCTGCCCTCTACCCTAACACCTCCCCCTCCCACTTCTTAGCCCTGTTCCCCCTCTTTCCTGAATTCCTGCATCTGAGGGAAGGCAGTGAGTACCTAATTGAATAACCCACAAGTACTTGGATCGCAAACTCTTAGAATTTGAAGACATAAGCTTACACAGATTTGAAACATTAAGCTTACTAATTCCTTACCAAGAGAACCTGGAATGTGCCTGAGCCCCATTGGTCTCTGGGATTTTGGTGTGGCGCTCTGTGCCCCAAGGGCAGAGCTGGCAGGGTCTCCAGGACTGCCACAGAAGGATGGCCCAAGCTCGGAGAGGAGGGTGCCACAGTGTGCTTATTACTCCCTCATGTGTCAGTTCATCCTTTCAACCTCAGGAGACATAGAAAGTGGTTGGGAAGACACTACCACAGCCAACGACATCTCATCCACCTCATCCGGTACTGAATCCAGCCCCCAGTCCCCCCTGACACCAGATGGTAAACGGAGCCCCAAAGGCATCAAGAAATTTTGGGGAAAGTAAGTTGATGATGATGATCATAATAGTATTACTTGGGGAGAAAGTAAATTGGGGATGATCATAATCATTCGTTGGGTGGAGTTCATTGTCTTTGTGATGTAGCAAGGCATCTATGTCAGCCCCTGGTTCATCAGACTTTGAGACTGTCTCAGAGAAGAATTTGAGTTGTTTTTAGGGCCAAGAGAAAAAGGCTGACACACACCCATTAAGTACAGCCAGTTGCCTTATGTGTCACCCATTCTAGGCATCTATCAATCCCCCAATTTTCTGCAGCTTATTTGGAAAAGACATAGGTGAGACTGGATTCTTCCCCCTGAGACTGTATCCTGTTTAACCTTTGAAGATAGCTCAGTACTTGCTGGCCCAAGCAATCCAGTCTGAAATGAGATAGCAACTGGAACGTGTGAAGCATTGACCTTCACTTTGACCCCATGGGAGTACCCAGAACCCCAGAGGAAGCTTAGAATTGCGGCTGAAGACTGGTTACAGAACTTTCCCAGGTTGTGTTCTTGATCCATGGTCTTTGATCTCTGGAGCCTTGGGTCTCGCCCTGTTGCCAGGGGGTTGCACTGCCTTGGGGCCCTCAGGCTGTGCTGACAGTGTCTTTGGATTGCTGTCCACACAGAATCCGAAGAACCCAATCAGGAAACTTCAACACTGATGCTCCAGGGATGGCTGAGTTTCGACGAGGTGGGCTCCGTGCAACTGCAGGGCCAAGACTCTCAAGAACCAGAGACTCTAAGGGACAGAAATGGTAAGGCTCCCTGTCTACAGTTGCTATGTGAAATCCTGGCTGAGGTATGGAGGGTAAGAGCTGAATATCTCAGGACCATCTCAGAGACAGAACTCAGAGCTTTACACCTTGCCCTGTTGATGCAGCTGAACGCCACTCCTGCTCATAGATGCTTAGCTCAGAGAAACCAAGGGCTCCCTAAGGCTGGAAGTGTCTGGGCAGAGGCTCTAGAACAACACTCTACATCTGTAACCTACTCTCAGGAGTGCTGTGTTCACAAACCCTCATGCCCCATGGAAGGGAGCCATTTTGCACATGCATGACATACTGGCCTGCCGTCCTCAGATTTCAAGGTCTTGCCACATCTTCCTCATGTTTGAAAGGCAAGAAATTTCCAGATCCATCTATGCTGTGATGGGTGTCCTCACTACTATTTTATACTCCAGGTTCTTAAAAAGAAAGAACAATGAGAATGTAAAGACCAAGAGAATGATACCTCTGGCCACAAATGTAAATTCTCAGTAAATGGCAGGAGCCTGGGGAATCTAAGGACATGGTTAGTGGCTTACCTACTGTATTCCATAATTAGATATTCCAATTTACCCTGCATTTTTCCTGACTCAGACATTACTGATGTTTCTGGCTTTTTTTGCGATGAAAAAGTCAAGCTACAGTAAACTTGAATGACCCATGTTGGTTCCAATTATGACAGTTTCTTCAAGGATTGACCCTAGAGGGTAATGACTGGGGCAAAGTGTAGGGATGTTTCTAAGACCGTTGGCCTTTTTGTAGAGCAGAGCTGTATGGTAAAGAAGCCCACTGACATTCTGTCTTCACTTTAGGGTGAGGTAGCCAAGGTCAGGAAGCTCTCTGCCAGAAGAAAAAACTGCAACTGCAGCACATGGCTGCTTTGCGGGAATGCTTTTGTGTCTTATTTACCATAACAATGGTTGATAAAGGGAATAAGCATGATGAGGTCTTGCCCGGATGGCAGTGTTTATCCCAGCAGTGCCTGTGGTAATGAAATGAATATGCTGGCAGCAAAGAAAGGCTGTCATTACGCTAGGGCTGAAATGTAGTATAATTATATGCTAATATGCTCTGATGTTTGTGTTTATAGATATTTATGGCAAAACTTTTTTAAAAATGTTTTCACTACTATGCATGTAGCAAAAGTAATTTGTTACTAAAAGCCTCCAGCCCTGATCCCTTTTTTCTTATCACTTTTTTAAAAGTTGGTATTTGACAGTAACATTTTATAGAAATCTCACTGAGATCATAGACAATGGTTGTTAGCCCCCCATCACCAGGTAAACTTTTATTGAATTACATGCCAGTCAGCACCACTGTATAGGTGACTTAATCATGCATCCTTGTCAGCAAGCATTAAATATTTAAAATTTTTGCACTTCTGAAGACTTTCAAAGAATTACATTTTTATTGCTAATTTGCATGATAATCGTTCTAGTTCTTCCTTGTGCATTGTCTGCATTTTTTTTTTTTTTTGCCAGTTTTATTCCATGATTAGTGTCTTTCCTGTAGTCTTCTGTGTGCTCTCCATAGGTTGAGATATTAAGCTGCGTCTAATCATTGTGACAGGGCATTTTTAAGCTCATGGCAGAATTCCTTTTGCTTGTCAACTTTGATATGTAGAATTTTTATATTTCTGTATAATCTTCATTAACTTTTCATTTGTGATTTCTTTCATTATTTTGTTTTTAAAATTTCTTTTTTTTTTGTATTTATGGAAGGGTCCTAGTATATTCAGGGTCTCACTACTAGATTGAACTCATAGTGATCTGGCTGTTTACAGCCTCCCAAGAGCTGGGATTACAGGCGCACGCCACCATGCCTCATCTCAATTGCCATCTCAGTGCACCCTGGGGGTGGAGCCTGCACAGCAGGCCTGGGGATTGAACTCCCAGCCCCTTTGCCTACTTGCAGGTGCTTTAATCCATTGAGCGATTTGGTTGGCCCTTCTATGATTTTTTTTTTTTTTTTTTTTGGCGGAACCAGGGATTGAACTCAGGCCCTTGCGCTTGCCAGGGAAGCGCTTATTCCACCGAGCTATCTCCCTGGCCCCCCTTCTATGATATTTTAAAACCATGTTTAAGTAACCAGATATTTTAGTTTATGAGTTTGGTATGTGTGTGTTTCAAGAAAAAAGGAAATAAAGTATCTTGTTTAAGGCAGACAGACTCTAGAGCCCCACACTGGGCCTCATCTTTGTGGAGGGTTTTCCTAAATTCATCTGTTCCGTGTGTTGCACACGAGGACTGTGCTTTTATGAGGGCTCTGACGATTTCCCCACCTCAGACTCCGCTTCATCATCTTCCCCCAAAACCAATGGGCAGAATCGGATTAGTCACGGATGTAAGGAAGTTCCTAGGCCTTTATTTGTGGGCCCCTTCCAGTGTCCAGAGAGGAACTCCTCGATGTACTGACAGTGTCAAGTGTATGGAAAATTTTCGTAAGTAATTTAAATGCAGCCAGTTTCAAGATTGCTGACTCTTTCACTCTAGTCTCCCTGTGGTACACCTTCCCTTATATCAAATGGTAAGGAAGTAGCTAGGGGGCTTCAGGGGAACTAACTGAGGGCAAGTTCAACAGGGGATTCAGTCAGTTTGGGCTTAAAGTATATGTATGTGACTTGCAGTCACTTCCTGTCTCACTTAGGTTTAGGTAACTCGTAATGGCTTCCATAATCACTTTTACTTCTTATTTGCCAAAGCACATTGATACGGGGATGCAAATCAGAGGTCCTGCCTTGGTGTGACTATGTCTTCTGGTGCTACATCCAGAAGTGTGGCAGCAGGAAGCAAAACCATATTTGAGATGTACAAAACCAGCATCTGGCCCGTGGAAGTTCTTTTCAGTCTCCAGATGTGTGAAATGCTGAGCCGTAGAATTGGTTCTGTTGAGTATCCATTCACAACAGAAACTCTCCTGTCAGGACTGTACTTGCTAAAAATGTGTAAGCAATTACAGATGGACCCTGTACTCTCCTCTGCCGTGGGATTGTCTTATCGGGCAATCACGGTTGCGTCACTGTAGCTGCAATTTGGAAAGGTGTTTTGGAATGTGTCGGTAACACTTGCGGTTTGGCTGTCCATGGAAGATACTGTCTCTGGGAAGATACTGTCTCTGTCTCTGTCAAGTAACTTCTCGAGCATGTTTAGCCACAGCTCACAGAGGGGTGAGAGCACCCGGCTCTGAGAGGAGCTGAGGAGGTGCTTGCTGTGGAACAACCAAGTCTGGGGTGTGTGTGTGTGTGTGTGTGTGTGTGTGTGTGTGTGTGTGTACACATACACATGTGGACAAACCATCAATGAGAAGACTGCTACGATGAGGACCAGAACTCCAGAGTGGTTTGAAAGGTCAGAGGTTTTCAAATTATCATCCTGAGAACACTTTCCTTCTCCCTTAAGTATTGACATGCTTTATGGATACATAAAATATTAATTTCCTTCCAATTTCCACAAATAAAAAAAATGAATGAAATTAAAAAACCAAATCAAACATGATATAAAACTGAGGAAATGGACATTGAGAAAAATTATTCTCATATGAAGAAACACACTGTGGAGGAAAGCAAAATGCCGTTATCACACTAAAAACTGTAAGAGCAAGAAATAAATTCCAGACAGAAGTAGTGAGTAGGTTCCTGGGTTAAAATCATATGAACACATTGTTAGAAGATCATGATTTCTTGCCGATGTTTCCCGGATATACCAGCATCAACAAGGATAACATAAAACACATGCTGCGACCACAAAGGATATAGATTATACATTGGTTTGTGGATATCTTCAATTCCAAAAATAAGTTTATGATTAGCCACAATGCAAGAAAACTTAATGCTATGTAGTTTTGTTTTGTTTTGTTTTGTTTTGTTTTGTTTTGTTTTGTTTTGTTTTGTTTTGTTTTGTTTTTGCGGATCCGGAGATTGAACTCAGGCCCTTGTGCTTGCCAGGGAAGCACTTATTCCACTGAGCCAAGTCCATGGCCCCTATGCTATGTAGTTTTACTACTCATATATAGAAGACACTTGAATAGTGATTTCCCTATATTTTAAGCAATGACTCTAAGAGCATGCATGGCAATGCCAATTATAAATTGTGAGGCCACAGTTTTTTTTAAAAAAACTCTCCTAATTAAAAAAAAAAAAGAAATTAGACGGGGCATAGTGACACATGCTATAATCCCAGCACTTGGGAGGCTGAAAACAGGAGGATCAGTACATGTCTGATCTGTGTAGTGAGACCCTGTAGACCTTGAACTAAATGCATAGAATAAAAAATAAAAAACTTGACACTTGTCCGAGAAGAAAGACTAAATCAATTGTGGACACACGAAGAAGTCAAAGAATATCACTCAAAAGATGAGAGTAAAAAAGAACTATAGATGTATATATAGGGATTAATAAAAAAATTTTTTTCTCTATTTTGTGATTTTTGGGGGAGGTTGGTTAAATTTGTAATTTTTTGTCTTCTCATTCTGAGTTTTCACTAATTTTATGTTCCAGTTTTATACTTTCTGTGGTATTGGGGGTTGAACCCAAAGCCTTTGCACTTTTCTTATTTTTATTCTGAGATAATATTCTGTGAAGTCACAAAAAGATTGCCCAGGCTAAAGGTGGGAATTTGTGATCCTCTTGCCTCAGCACCCCCAAGAGTGCTGAGATTATAGCCAGGCACCGTAACACCTGGCCAAATTGTATAGTCCTCTGAAGAGGACACCGTAAACTTTATAAGTTCTAGTCCTTGTGAAACCTGGGCCTGCACCTATTCAGGAACCAGTAAAACATGGGCTCCAGGGCAGAAGTGGTCAGCATCTGCCTCAGGGTAGTGCCCTCTCTGGCACTTGTTCTAGAATGGTGCTTCCTGCCGTTTGGGCCCTCTAAGGAATTCCCTCACTAGAAATAGCTCAGGCGTTCAGCACTACTTTTCTTTTGTTCTTCTCCGTGAAGGGTGCAGTCAGCCTCTGTCCGATCTATGCCACAAATCCAGGTTCAACTGAGGTTGAAGATGATATAGAATTTTGTTCTTGTCCTTGTTTCCTAACAGCTATTTAGGTTGCACTTGTGTTAGGTAGCATGTGCATAATCTAGAGATGATGTGGTGTGGAGGACATGCGTAGGCTTAGTGTAAGTGCTGTTCATTTGGTGTAAGGGACTTGAGTGTCTTCAGGCTTTGGGATAAGAAGGGGTCCTGGAAGCAATCCCGCGGGGATACAAAGAGACTTCTGAATTTGGGGGAAAAGAATCTTTTAGAATACCTATTTCTCCATATTCTATAACCCCCATTTACTTTTAAAAATGAACCTGAAGTTGCTTTGTCCATCCCCACAAAGATTCCATTGGGGTTCTTTTGTATTTAGTACAGCGTCTACAGGGTCTCACTACCCAGATCAGACTCATAGTGATCCTCCTGTTTTCACCCTCCCAAGTGCTGGGATTACAGGCACACACCACCACACCCAGTCTCAATTGCCATCTCAGCGCGCCCTCGGGGCGGAGCCTGCATGGCCCTGGGGGACCAAACCTTGGCCTCTGCACTCTGCCTAAGCGGATGCTTTAGTCAGCTGAGCTATCTAGCCGGCCCTTCCACTGGGTTTCTTAGAGTGTTAGTAAGCTTAACATTTTAAATGAAAAATTGATGTCTAAGAACGGGTGGCTCTTAGTGAGTGCCTAGTGTGCCTGTGTGGAAACGTGACCTCGTCCTTCATTTATTCATGACTTTGCCCATCTTGCTCAGTTAGGATTTATAGCTGCCACATCAGCTCACTGTCCCCAGATCCCCATGCCCAGTCTCCCAGGCACACCCATGCCTTGCTCAGAATGTGTAATTCTTAAACCTGACAATTTGTAACTTTGGCTGCTATGAGTGGAATACATTAGTATTTGTGCATGAATAATACATGTTGATTTTCATGTGTTAGATTGATGTTGTATGTATATGCATGTAAGTATATTATATTACCAGCCACCTTACTAAGCTTTCTTGGGTTTTCTAGGTAGCAGTCATCACACCTAAAGATAATTGTTTTCCTATGATTGCAGCTTTCTAATAGCTTTATTTATTTTTATCACTTTTCTTTTTTTTTTTTAAATATTTATTTATTTATTTGTTTATTTAGTGTGTGTGTGGCCAGCTCAGCCCACCAGGGGGCGGGCCTGGCTGGCATGTGGTGCTGGGGATTGAACCGCGGTCCCTGTGTTTTGCTTAGCTTAGCTTGTTCTAAGTAGGTGCTTTAGTCCACTGAGCCATCTCACCAGCCCCTTTATCACTTTTCTTTACACAGCTCTCAGACTAGTGTTATTAATATGTACTAGTAAAAATCTGTATTGCCTTTATATTGATTTTAATGTGAATGCCCCTAGTATTTTGTTAGTAAATAGGTATTGGCTGTTGTTGATTAGAAGAAGGTTTTTTATTTGGGGTTTTTTTTGGTATTGTTTTTGGTTTTCATGTTAGAGAACTGGCCCTCCCACTTAGTTGTACTAATAACAGCGTTAAATCTGTGGACAAAGTGATTTCACTGGGATGTTTGTCTTAGTGGGCCATGCCCTGGGCAGTGGCACATGGCTGTGCATGTGGTTGCAGGGTGAGCAAGCACTTTCCTGGGATCATGCAGGCTGCCCCAAGCTCTAAGTGGCTGGATTGAAACTCAGACTATGCTGTTAAGGAGATGGAGGAGTGGCCTTCACTTGACTGGGTAGCTGCAAAATTGCGTTCAACTGCATCCTGTGATCAACTGGCTTGTTTGTTTAAAAGTTCCTTTCATGGGGGACTTTATTATAGGCAGAGCCCCCGGCTGTCTGCTAATAGGAATACACTATTTCCTTGCTTCCCAGTGATCCCAATGCTCCTTTTGCCCAGTGGAACACAGAGCGGGTCTGTGCATGGCTGGAGGACTTTGGCCTGGCTCAGTACGTGATCTTTGCCAGGCAGTGGGTGACATCTGGTCACACGTTGCTGACAGCTACGCCTCAAGACATGGAGAAGGTAAGAGCCAGGCATGAGACGAGGCTCCCATTTCTCCCCAGACCAATGCATGGGACCAGTGTGCAGGGTGTAGCTGTCCCCCCAATGAAGGAAGAAGGGAGGGCTGACAGTCATTCCCTCTGTAGCTGGCATCCCAAGGGATCCGCTTCTACCCTCTCAGAGCTTCTCCATCCCAACATGACATCCTCTGAGGAAGGACCACATTGCCTGCCAAAATTTCACATCTGGTCTTAATCTTTTAATTTCAGGAGCTAGGCATCAAGCACCCTCTCCATAGGAAGAAGCTGGTTTTAGCTGTAAAAGCCATCAACACCAAGCAGGAGGAGAAGTCTGCACTGCTAGACCATATTTGGGTGACAAGTAAGTACAGACATATACAGATTAAGTATGTTTCTAGTGAGTCCGAAAGGTAGAAAGAATTTCCTTATTGAATGCGTGCCTCAAAAACAGATGTCTGCTTGTGAAAGGCAGATGGATTACTAAATCTCTGAGGAATAAAACTGGAGCCCAAAGTCTAGTTTGCTGGTTTTTTTTTTTTTCCCTTGGCATCTACATTCTCCTATTCTCATGAATCCTAATGTGTCTACTCCTTCTATATTTGTAGGGTGGCTTGATGATATTGGCTTACCCCAATACAAAGACCAATTTCACGAATCCAGAGTGGATGGACGAATGCTTCAATACCTAACTGTGGTGAGGATTTTCCCTTTAAATATTTCAGTTGTGCCTGTGGTGGCCATTTTGAACTTGACTCTACTTCCTCCCTCAGATTCTTAAAGCCTTAAAATATATTGGTTGTCACATAAGAGGTCCCAAATAGTGAACTATAAACTATGGTGCTAAGAGAAGAATCTGTCAGTGTGTCTGTGTGGAGCTTTATGGCATATGAAAGATTTAGCTGTTTGATTGGGGAAGAACCTCTGTGGGTCTTTTGTCACTTTGGAAGCTGTGGTTCATCAGCTAAAACTTTTCTTTTGCAGAATGATCTACTCTTCTTAAAAGTCACTAGCCAACTCCATCATCTCAGCATCAAATGTGCCATTCACGTGCTGCATGTCAACAAGTTCAATCCTCACTGCCTGCATCGGAGGCCAGCTGATGAGGTAAGGGCAGAGGGCAGCCATGCGGGTGTCCTGCCCCAAGCCGTGACACCTGAAATGTTGCAAATGAGAAAGTAAGAATGACAGCATCACAGCATAGCTGCATTTCAGATCGTGGTTCTTGGGATTCTGGTACCCAGAACAGCCCTGTTGCCTGAACCATGGTAACCACTAACCTTATGCCTTCCCACCTTTGCTTAGGCAGACGATTACTATGGGCTAGAGGGCAGGGGGAACAAAGTGATCATAGGAGATGAGAAGTGGGATGAATGAAGCAGAGAAAAAGGAAAGGCAAAATGGAAAGATGGTGTCAGGGTAGGCAGAGAAGAGTCAGAGGAGGTACAAGGAGCCCTTCAGGAGCCAGATAGTTCAGAACAGTTTCCCTGCTTGTAGATAAAACATTAGCAAACTTCCAACCCAGGTACACAGTACTCATGAAATTCAGACAAACACAGCACCCCAAATCCTGGACAGTGCCTGACAGTATTGCGTGGACCTCAGAGTTCTTACTGGGTCCTTCCCGGACTGAAGGGTGGTAAGTCACATCCCACCTCCTCTTCCAACTCCACGTCCAGACACACTGAACAGCTCTTCCCTGTGGCCTACATCTCTTAGTCTCTTGCTATTGGACAAATATATGTTGTATACTTTTCTGTGTCAGTCCCAGACATGAGCATTGTGGAGACTGTGATGCCATGTGACAGTGCTTCTGCACACATATCTTCATTTGTGCTCCACTAAAATGTTCAGCCACACCAGAAAGGTTTTTTTTCCATAAATACTTCACTCACAACTCTCAATTCTGTTGAATCCCTGAATAAACACCTATATACCTTGATTTATTCCTCCCTACCCCCAAATTAGGCTGAAAATTAGAGTAACAAGATTATGAGTTCAGATATCTCTGTGTCAAAGACCCTCCAAGATTCAGTGAGAGCTGTTACTTGGGACTGGGAAGGCTTTCAAGCAGGTGGCCTGCGTAGCTTGGGTAACTATAAGGATCCACTCTTGTGGTAAGGGATCTGGGTAGGATTAGCTGTAGGTTCTGACTAGTCAGTGAAATTTTTCTTTCTTTCTCTCATAGAGTAACCTTTCCCCTTCAGAAGTTGTGCAGTGGTCCAACCACAGGGTGATGGAGTGGTTGCGATCTGTGGACCTGGCAGAATATGCACCAAACCTTCGAGGGAGTGGCGTCCATGGTGGTCTTATTGTGAGTCTGGAGTAGGCCACCTGCAGCGGGGACACACTGGGTTGTTCAGAAATTAATTTCCTAAGAAACAAATATTAATGCTAGTGAAAAAATAAAATACTTCACCTGAACTTCTTACATAATTTGAAGCCTCAGACAAAAAATTTTTGTAACATGTGGTTGAGAATTAATGTAACTCATGAAATTAAGATGGCCTCTGGAAGGATTTCCTCAGCTTCAGACCCAGAGGATTCTGGGATGCAGTTGTGTATGAGAGTCATTCCTGAAAATGGCAGCTCCTTCTGTTCCCAGAGCAGCATGGGGAAGTGAGGGGGAAGACATCAAATGCAATTTCCTGCTTGCTACGATATGATTCTTATCACCACTCAGATCTTTCAAGTGACAAAGCCAGAGGGGAAATGTGGAGGCAGTGGCTTAGATGTCATCTAGCCCTTATCAAAGAGATCCTGCTTCTCTGCTGATCTGTGAAGATGAAGTGGCAGAGAACAAATGTGCTAATGTCTCCTCAGAGCCAGGCCTCACTTTGAGCCTGGGAGGGAGAGGGTGTAGGATACACAAGTGGTGGTGCTTCCGCCCTTGCTCTGGAGTCACTTAGGCCCAGGAAGTTCATTTCTCATTGCCTGCTGACTAGGTTTTTTTTGTGGTTTCTTCTTAGATCCTGGAGCCACGCTTCACCGGGGACACCTTGGCTATGCTCCTCAATATCCCACCACAGAAGACACTTCTCAGGCGCCACCTGACCACCAAATTCAATGCCCTGATTGGTCCTGAGGCTGAACAGGAAAAGCGAGATAAAATGGCATCACCAGCTTACACCCCACTGACTACCACAGCCAAAGTGCGGGTGAGTTTCCAGACCCTTTCTGTGTGGTCCAGAGGTGCTGCCTCCTGGCACTTGTGTATTCAGCATGGAGGAGGGGGCACAACCAGCTTCCATGTGAGAGTTTGGCCCTGTGGTTATGCATCATTGCTAGGCCATTCTTAGTTTATCTCGAGTCAAGGAAGAGAGTGTGGGTTTGTGTATCCAGAAGCCGTGTGTGGGAAGTATCTCTTCTTGGACAGCAGGGAGCTTGTCCTCTGCCCCAGTGCTGTCATTATTCATCTGGCAAAATAGCTAAGTTCTGGGCCTGGGCTCCCTTTGGTTCGGTCCATCTGCATGCCGTAGCACCATGGGGCATAGTCAAAGTGGTCCTGCTGGTACAGGGTGTGTACCACTCGGCAGGGGTGCCTGCTTGCCTTGTTCTGTGAGGTGGTCAGTGCGCAGCGATCCAGAGACCCTGAGGTCATCCATGCACCAGCACCACTCCCTAGGCTCCCTGAATCCCATAAAGATCTGCCTGAGCAAACCTCTCCTCAGACAATGTCCATGGCTGACCCCATTCCCAACGGGCCAGCCCAGAGCCTCAGGTCCAGCTAAACACAAACACAGAACGCAGACCTCCTTCCCTGGGGGAGCAGGACAGTAAGTGCAGGTGGGGAGCATCTAGGAGAAGCAGTGCTGGGTACAGCTTGGGCCAGGAGGAAGACCAGCCCAGGGTGGCTGGCGTGATTCTGTGGCACCGGGCAGTGCTCCCCATGTGGTGTCAGCACCTGGGAAGAGGCGACTCCTCTGTGCTCAGCCCGGGATGCATCCTGTACCCTGTGGTATGCATTAGGATCCCTGACCATCTGGGAAACTGAGGGAGTTGCTGGCGGAGCAGCAGGAAATGGGTTTCAGGCCGTCTTAGGAACAGCTCTTCCTTCAAGATTACTCGCCAGTTGACCTTTCCTCAGTATAGAAACTGCTCTAGGAGCTCTGTGTGGTTTCATTTTATAGTATTTTCCTCATTGCATTGTTCCTAGGTCTGCTCTTAAATATACTGTCAGTCAAATGTGTACACTGGCTTGCTAGTCATCTTCCCATAACCTTGCATCTTCTGTGTTTTAGCCTAGGAAACTAGGATTTTCACATTTTGGAAACATGAGAAAAAAGAAATTTGATGAATCAACAGACTACATTTGCCCCATGGAACCAAGTGATGCAGTCAATGACAGTCAAAGGGTCTACAGTGGCTACCGGGGCCTCAGTCCCCTTGACAGCCCTGAACTGGATGGGCTGGACCAGGTGGGACCCGTTAGCTGATGCCCTTGTCACCTGGCTTCTGTGTGTACCTGAGCGCTCACAGTAACACCACGTGTGCTGCCACGTAACTGCACCTCATCCATCCCCTGCACCTGTGCATGGCTCACAGCGAACAATGTGGCGATGATTCTGTGCCCTGGGGCCGGTCTCTCTTCACACCCTGCTGGCAGCCAGGAGCTGGAGTTAAGACCTCTGCAAAGGGGCCAGGCTTGGGGACAGTTGGCAGAGGTGGACCCAGGAGGAAAGACACTTCAAGGTGCTTTTCCGTTTTTTTAATTATCATCAAAGTCCATCTCCAGCACGAGAACTTGGACCCAGGTCCAGGGACTCTCTGGTACAAGCCCCAGCGGCTCAGCTTTCAGGCACCACGCTGGGCTCCAGCTGAGGGAAAATTCAAGTGCCTTAGGCCTTTGGGCCACAGTGTCTTGGCTGAGGAGTCGAGCAGCAGGGATTTCTGCCATAGTGACAGTGTAATTGGGGTGTGCCTTACTACAGAGGTGGTCGCTTCTTTCTGGTAATAAAAATATTTATGTAGAAAGCAAACAGTGTAACCTATCTTTAATCCTGTTGGAGAAGAGAGCTGGGCACAGCTGGAGATGGAGTCCTACTGACGACAGTGTAGGTGCTTGGCCAGACGCACACAGGATTCACCAAGGGGGGTGGACAAGGGGGGACCCTCTCCTTCCTGCTGTCCTCAGGCCCCGCCTCTCACTGTGAAGTAGAAGGGAACCTTGGGTCTCACGCATATCCCGACTGGAGGCCACATCCATCATGCAGACCCCAGAGCTGGTTTCCGCTTCAGTAGCAGGAACCCCTCAAGCGGGTGGGCCACAGGGCAGCCGTGCCAGCAAGACCCTGGTCCTTCACATGTTTTGCCAGCTTCGGGAGCTATTGTAGGCTGGGCCTTCTGTGCTGGCAGCAGGGCTGGAACAGATCTGGCCTCTTCAAAAAAAAAAAAAAAAATGTTTTTTTAAAGATCTGGCCTTTTGATTCAGAGGCTGAGTAGCTGATAATGGACCCTCCAGATGGGCCCTGTCTGGCTGGAGACTGAGAGAGACGCTCATCTGTGCCAGTCATTCCCGGTCACCCCAGGGCAGCTCCTGGCTCCACAGGGTCCCTTGGGCCTCATCTGAAGAATAACAGCAATGTCCTAACCATCTGACAGCACGGCAAGGCCAAAAGCCTCGCAGGGGCTCTGATTCTGTCCCAGTCAGAGGTGATGCTCAGATTCCTGTCATCAGCAGCCTGAGGCTTGGCCTATTACCTCTGGCTTCCACTTTCCCTGAGGTCTAACTGCTGAGAGAAGCAGGCACAAACTTGCCAGCCAGCAGCAGTTTGGTCCTGACACCCCAGGGCCACAGTCTGCAGGGGCTCCTCAAGGCTGATTCCTGAGGTGGAGCTGGTCAGGCCAGGCTTTGTCCATTATTTTTTATGTCCTGGTGAGAGACTGCATGCACCTGTTTTCCAACCCTGCATGGAATTGTTTTGCCACTAATTTTCTGGGTATCCTCAGGCAAGTCTCATTCCTTTTCATGGGCCTCTGTTTTCCCACCTGTAAAACAGTTAATCTTTGACATCTTCCAAATCCAAAGCTTCTACATCCTCAAGAAAAAAGGAGCATTCCAATGTTACCTGTGGAAGAGGGCAGGGAAGGGGGCTGGAGTAGTGAGGAGGCCCCAGCTCTCCCAGCATCTTCCCCAGAATGCCACTGTCCTGGGGCATCACTGTCTGGGGCTGGTGCCTGGGCATTATGATTCTGTCCTTCGTCCCCGCTGCCTTTTGCTCCCAGAAAGCAGCCTGAACACTGAACATGTGTTGAGGGACAGCCTCTGCCTGGCTCTTCCTCCGTGCTGCTTCCTGTATCCTGAATGTCGATGCCGAGCAGGACATCAGGAGACCATGTGCATGCAGTGTGGGATCCTGGATGCCTTTCCTCAGGGACAGAGGCAGCATGTACCCCCTGCTCCTGTCACCCCCTCAGGCCTGGAAGCATGCTCTGGAGAAGCCAGGCCTGAGCAGGATAGGGTGTGCATGCCGTCTGCAGATCGCAAGCTGTACCCATAGGTGCTGACCAGGCTGCTGCCCACTTTACAGATGGCACCTTCGGAAGGCACTGTGACGCAGATAGGGCTCCTCTCTCAAGATATTCACCGTCTTACGGTAGGACTCTATTCTCACAGTAGGGTTGGTGCCATGGGGGTCCAGAAAGCCTGGCGTGTTGTCTACGGCCATACCACCCTGAATGCACCCGATCTCATCAGAAAGCCTGGTGTGGTGTTGTTGAAGACCAGGACAAGGTCAAGGGTGGTCCTGGGTGCTGGCCTCACAGCCTGAGTCCATCCTGCAGGCAGAATGCAGCCCCAGGGCCTTCTTCACTGGCCTGTTGCTGGGCTGCAGGCCCAAAGTTGAAACCTCCCAGAGCGTCCTAGGTCTTGGGTCCTTTTCCTAGTCTGAGCTGGTGAGGAAACCAAGAGGCTCTAGAAGTATCAGAGCCCCACCTTCATCTCTGACCTATCCTCTCTGCCACGAGACTCCTGCACGTCCCAGGCCATGCCTCTGACATCACAGATATCACAGGCAATCTGGCTGCATCCTGCCATGACCCAGAAGACCAGCCAGACCACAGGAGGCACCATGGTCTTGGGAGAAGAGCAGCAGTTTTGGAGAGCGGCAGACCTGGTTGAAGTTTCTGCTGTGCTCTACTGGCTTAGGCACCCTAGGTGTCTCATTCCTTGTCTGAGCTTTGGATTCAATATCTGCGGAGCTGGATGAATAAAGTCTGCCCTGCAGGGCTCCTAGGTAGAGCTGGCAGGAAAAGGCCAGCCACAGAGCAGATCTGTCTTCAAGACTTAAGATGTCCCGGGGCCCTTTAGTTCCATCCTGAATGTAGCAGCTGCTGTGTCCCCAGGACTGAGGCCTGGGCACTATACTTTGCTTCATGATCTTTCAAGGCACATTAGAAGCCTTTCTGAGGGTCAGTTTCCCCAAATCTAAGCAGGATCACTTTAATGCATCTTTCCTTTTCTTGGCTTACACAATGAAAGGTCTCTGCCCAGCCTTGCCTCCCTGTGATCTAAGAGGCCTTTGGTGGCTTTCTAAAAGAGCAAATGGCCTCTAAGATGAGCAGGTGTTTTTTGTTTTTTTTTTTAATCTTAATAGTTCTATTTATTCTGAGCCAAGGCTTGGGATCCCTGGGACTCCAGGAACAGGCAGGGCACCAATGTCAGACTCAGGCCATGCCCAGTGTCCCCTGCTTCCCTTGCAGTTGGGGGGAGGGGCGGCCCAGCTCCAGACTGTGTTAAACTGCCCCTTGGGCTATATCCTTTCAGACCCTGCTGAGCCAGGACCAGCTGCTGAATGATTCTCGCCTGACTACCCCTGACTCTGATGACTGGAGATGACATTCTTTGTGGCTGAGAGCCCAGAGAGGCGCGTGTGGGGCCCTGCCTTGGCCTCCCAGGGGACCTGGCACACAGCCATTGCAGAGCCCGGGCTGCAGATGGGGATGCCAGGGCATCTCGGCCATGGGTGCTGCTGGAACAAAGCAGAGCACTGGCGCGGGTGTCCAGGAGGCGCCTGGTGTCGCGAGGTGTTTCTAGCCCAGCCGTGCTCTTCACTGCAGCTTTCTACCTTTTGTACTTTTATACAAGGCCTGCAGGCGGCGCTTGTGGGGCGAGCAGTGAGATACAGCACACAGGCCCAGGGTTCGTGCTGCACCAGGAGGCTCCTACGCCAAAGGGGAAGAGCTGTTAGTCCATAAAACCGCTGCTGGAGAAAACATTCTGCAACTGTGTTCTGAATGTTCTGTGGTAACAGTTGAGTGAAATGACAGCTGGGAGTCTCTCAGAGCCGCCTTCAAGGAAACATATATTCAAGGTGAGAGGATGCAGGGTGAGAACAGTCCTCCCCTCTGCCCTGGCTGCCTCCACCTACCTTCAGCAGGGACCTGCTGGTCCTTCCTTCAGTCTGTGAACAGAAGTCCCATCACCTTTTCCCTCACAGCCTGAAATGTAATGTCTACTCACACGGCGCCCCCTAGTGGAAGACCCTTGGGCACCAACTCGCCACAATTTGACATTTTCCCACTCAAGCCTGCTTTGTGCTCTCTCCCACCTGGGAGAGAGGCGCCCGAGTCCTCAGTGTGCCTCCTTCCTCCCACTGCCTGGCTACTGTAGTTCCAGCTTTGTCTCTCATCTGGTTCCCGAAGCTGGTCTTTTCTTAGGTCCCTCACTCTTCCAACTGGTCCCCTCAATTCTCCTCCGTGCTCTTAAGGCTTCCTTCACAAAGCACAGTCTTAATCCTGTCATGCCTGGCCCCATTCTGGTCAGAGTTCAGTTACAGCGCCCTCACAGATGGCCACCCAGGCCCTTCACTGTCCTCAGCCTTTTTGAGCTCAGTGTTTGGCCTTTGCTCCCTTCAGGCCTCAGCTCCAGCCCCGCCCTCCCAGTGACGTCATTTCCCCCAGTCCCCTTCATGAAGCCCAATCCCACCTGTTAAGGCTCAGCACAGGCACTGCCTCTTCCATGTCTCTCAGGGAACCTTCATTCCTTTTCTAACCAGAGTTCAACTGCCCCACTGCTGTGTTCTCCGAACTCTGAAAAGCCTTGAATTTGTGTTGTCCTATCATATATTCTCCCTGAGCACAAACCCGCTGAGCACCCACTACTGACTGTAGTAGGCTGTACAGAGAGAAACAGGCCCAACTCCCAGCCCCCATCTGCTTCTGGATCAAGGTCCTGTTGACTAGCATGGTTGGCCTCCACACTCCAGGTGTGAGTAGCACCCCTCCTCCAGTAGTGACAACTGAAATGAGCCCAGACTTTTTGTCAAATATTCCCTGAGGGGCAAATTTGCCCCCTTTTGAGAGCCACTGGGGTAGAGACTGAGGTCACAATGGGAGGCTCAGGGGAGGAAAACTGATCTGGTCAGGCTTCCAATCAAGAAAGATCTCACAAGCCAGGCCCCTGGAGTAGGTCCCAGAGGCAGGAAGTAGCTGGGGGTGGGGACCAGAACAAAAGCAATGAAGGGTAAAATGCATGGCCAGATCTGCATCTTTGTAAAGTATCTGAGGGCAGGATCTTGCTCATGCCCAGCAGAGCGGGGAATTCCTTGTGGATGTGCTGAACAGGTGGGTGCAGGCAAGCTGGCCACACCGTCCCTGGCTGCCCCACACCCCAGTCCTATGAGACCATCATTGGCCACCTGTGGGCAAGACCTCAAGTTGGAGCTGTGCTGCAGAGCGCCCTGGAGCCATGGAGTCATGTGCCCATCTCTTCAGCTCCTTTTGTCCCTTCCTACTCTGCTTCACACACACACACACACACACACACACACACACACACACACCAGTGGCACCAAGTTGAAACACTGCTGCTGTTATGCCAGCTTTCGTGAAAAGGGGGGGGGTGAGTAACTTAGAATTTAAAACCAGCTCTGACACCCAGTGGCGGAATGACTTCACAACACCAGCTCTGATACCCAGTGGCCGAATGTCTGAGTTTGCTCCTCATGTGTACCATGAAGCACAAAATCCTCACAGGGTTGCTGGTCTATTCTGAGAATTATATGAAATCTGCAAAAATGGCCATACCCACTCAGGTAACCAAGCAGTGATATGTTGTCCTGGCCCTGAAGATGGTGACAGTGGGGCCTTGTATCTTATAACTTGAGTTCAGTTGATAGGGTCTAAGGCAGAGCTTCTGGGAGCTGTATGTTAAGTTGAGATGCTTCTGATTAGAACCACTTCTAGCCTAATACCGGGATGGGGCCAGGAGGATGCTGGGAAGAAAAGCACTCCATGCTTCCATCTGCTGTATACAACTGAGGAGGGTCTAGAAGGAGTCCCCAGAGCCACCTTCCCATTCCCATTTCAAGGAATCCCACAAAGAAGAAAGACTATACATGGAGGGGGCCTGAGGACTCTTGTAGGTTTGGCTTTAAAAGCAGAGCTGTCTGGAGAGGGGTTCAAGAGAGAGGGTAGTGGCAGTTGATGCGACCCCACCTGGATCCTGCTCTGGCACCATGGCCAGTGTGGCCTATTCTGACCACCTCCATGACACAGAAGCCAACTGTCAAGTACAGCACGATGGGCTCCTGACCTCAGCAGGGCCCACAGAGCCACATGTCCTGAGCTGTCTACTAAGAACTTAAATTTATTTCACTGAACTATGGAGAAAGGTACAATAATGGAGCTTTTCCCACCCTTCAAGCTGCCGGGCCTCAGAAGCCCTTTCTCCTGGTGCCTCCACGCCTTCTTCAGTCCACACTCAACAGAGTGGTGCCTAGCGTGCCTTCCCGGGGAGGCGTCAGAAGACACTTTTGCAAACATCTCAGTTTAACCTGGTGAAACGAAATTCACTCTGAAACAGAACAGACCCTGGGAACTTGTGAAGAGCGCAAGAGGTGTTAGTAGGTGAAAATCATGTCCTTCGTATAACCCAGCTTTCCCAGGCTTGGGTGGGCAACTTTGTGGACCAGAGCCTGGGGCCCACACACCAGGATTAGTGTGGCCTTCCCAGGCGGAGGGAGGTGCTCCCTGATCATGTCGGCAGTCACAAAGCCAGAGCTGTAATTCCAGCCTGAAATGAAGCAGAACAGGAAGTAACTGTGAGGTACTGGAGCGGAAGGGCCAGGCTGCCCTACAGAGGTTTACAAGTCTGTCCTGCTATTCCCTACAAAACCGTGAGAAGCAGCTGTGGGGCCTCAGACAGCCCTCTGGCAGCATTCACTCCAGAGTGCCCACTCACAGCTGAGACTCAGGGGCCCATGCTCCTGTGTGCTGACTCCAAGCACTGAGGAGGGTGAGGAACCCTGGTGAAGTGTCCCAAGCTGTGGTTAGGGGAGTGAACTGGTGTCGTGTTTGTGGGGTTGCATGCCCTCTGCTGGTCAATTTGGTGTATGACGAGATAGGAACGACGCTCCGCTGCCTGGGGCTCAGCATGGGAACACTGCGGTCCAGAAAAGGTGAGTGGTGATGGGTGCGTGGCTATAAGCAGTGATGTGAGAGGCGAAAGGACCAGTGGCCAGGAGAGATGCAGCGTATGATGGTTGCAGGGGTACAGGTGTTCAGGCAGCCAGTGGCTCTGTCTCTCTTGGTGTTCAGTGCAGTGCGTGGAGCACTGCTGAGACATCAGACACCGGCCCTCTCTCACCCTCCTTACAAGCAGGTCACCCGGACCCACCCTCGAATCCTGCACTTTCCATATGGACCCATAACCCCAGGCCTAATCCCCCCCCCCCAAGAAAAAAAAGGCCAAACCAATCCATGAGGACTTAGAGCTGATCCACAGCAAGTGAGGGCAAAGGGCTCGTACCTGAGGGAGGCCTGTCCAGAGTGTACCACACACTGAACTGCTCTGGATGAGTACTGGCAATTCCTTCAAGCTCCTTTCTCATCAGGATATCCTCCTCTGTCTAGAAAAGGAATATTAGAAAAGCCCCACTCACGGGCAGCACACATATCCTCCACACCGAGCACACAGCTGGCCAACACACCATCCACGCTGTGCTGTCCCAGCCTAAGTGCCCACCGCAGACTCCTAGGGCAGATGAGGACGCCACAGAGCTCCAGGAGACCAAAGCCTCTTATTTCTCTCTTTTGCAGTGAGTATCTGGGAGGCCGAGGAGTCTAATGGGGAGGGGACTGCCTGGAGACATGGGGCCTGCAGGCCATGGCCTCCATGTGGGTCTCCCCACCCACCTCCTCCGCCCACACTAGGCATGGGCATAGGGCACCCAGCTGGGAGAAGGCTGGCGCAGGCCGTGGTGTTTTGCCAGAAAGAGGGAGCGAGGGCGATAAGGAGAACAGCACTGAGCCTCGCCAGGGAAAAGACAGCCAGGGCCACTGTCTCGGGCTAAGGGAGCACACAGATGTGTGTGGCACCTGCCCCAGCAATTCCACTTCTGGGCTTCTGTTTAAAAAGAAATCTAAAAGTGGGAAGGCCCTGGCACAAGAATTCATCACTGCATCATTGATCATTTATACCTGGAAACGGAAAACCTGAACAAAAGAAATTTAGTAAACTATAGTACAACTTGACAAAGCCTGTGCTGAACATACAGGGCATCAATAAGCAAATCCTGTGTGGATATGCTAACTGAAATATATATATCAGACAGCTGTGCTGTTTTAAGGCAGGGAAGAGGCCATGTTGGCCTCCTCCATTGGCCCCAGTACATTGGCACGAGGACTGGAGCCTGCGCCTTCTGAGATAATCACTAGGCTTTCTCTTCTGAGGACTGCATGTATGCATTATTCACTATATCATATAGTGGACAATACACACACACACACACACACACACACATATATATAAAACAAAAAATACTTATATTCTTTTATATTTCCCAAGATTTCCATGAGAGCATCTTTGACTTGATTTTTATACTCAGAGAAAAAAAGAGAAAGAAATTAGGAAGGAAAAAGAAAGCCTAAGCTCAAGCCTTCTTGCTCTGGCATTCCCAGCAGGAACGTGGGCCTGGGCTCAGTGTCTGGCTTCGAGCCCACGCCCAGGCAGTGCGTGCGCAGTTGGTGGGTGCAGGATGAATGCAGAGCCCTGCTCAGCGAACTTTTTGTCCCACCGCTGCAAATCGGGTGCTGACAGGGCAGAACTGACCTGGTTGGCAAACAGGAGGGACATTCGGGTCCTGTCATTGGGGTTCTTGGTGATGTGGCGGATGAGCTGCAGCATGGGCGTAATGCCTGGAACACAGTAATTGGGCAGGCCGGCCTTCTGCGTCTCTGATGCGACAGTCCCCAGCCTGCAGCAGCTCAACAGCTTTCCCCTGTCCCCTGTGCCTGCTTGCAGGCGCTTTAATCCACTGAGCTATTTGGCCGGCCCCTTGGGATTACTTTCTATCACAGCAGTAAGTCAAAAACCCTGTTTCATTTCCCCATGATGGGAAGAGAATCCTTAGATCTTCAGCATCCTCTTTTGCAAAAAGTATTAGTGGTCAGTAAATGCTATGGGTTTTAAAGGGGCCATGATGGCACCTGGCCCCCTGGGCATGTCTGCCAAAGTTATTCTCTCCAGTCAGGTGACATTGTCCAGGGTCAGGGAGAGTCTGGTATGGACTGGATCCAGGCACATGAAAGAGACCACAGACGGGCCACACAGCCTGAGTCCCAGGCAGCCACCACATTAGCTAAGGGGAGCAGCAAACCATCAGATTCAGGATAGGTTCTTAGGCTGTGCAGCTAAGAGACGAGTAACTCAGGCCACCCCTTCTAGGGCCCAGCAACTGCAAAGTCTTGTAGGTCACTGGATGAAACCCTAAGAACCTCTTACCTGTGCCTCCAGCAATCATTCCCAGGTGCTGAACTAGTTTTTTTTCAGACGGGCTTGTTTTGTGCGGTTTGATTGCAATTCTCCCTAGAAGCACAGGGGATGTTTCTAACTTCTGCAGCAGTTCTTGTCAGGGAGCCTGCAAAAAATCACTGACTTCCCTTGGGACCTGTAGATGGCAGGTCGCCTCTGACAAGACTGTGCCGTTTTAAGGCAAGGAGGAGGCCACCGTGGCTCTTTCCATCAACCCCAGTACACTGGCACAGGGACGGGAGCCTGGGCCTTCTCAGGTAATTGCCAAGCCTTCTCTTCTGAGGACAGAGGCAAGCTGAAGCTCATAAAGAGCCTCACCTGCAGCAGTGAAGGAGGGAGTAAAGGACGAATACATGCCAAGTTCATCAATGTGGGCAACAGCACCCTGCTGCTTCTCACCCTGCAAGCTCAGTGACGAGGTCACACCAGTGAAACTTAGGATCTTCTGGACAGGGAGTGCAGTGATACACTGATCCAGGTGAATGCATGCATGAGGACTTGAAGCACAAGCCCATGTGGGGGCTGAGCAGGGCTCTGGGACAAGAAGGCCACTGCAGGAGTCTTCATCCTCCCAGCTGGACACCCAGTGTGATCCCACCAGTACCTGGCCCTTGGTAGAACAGTTGCCCAGTCGGCCCTCGAAAAAGGATGGTGTCTCCAATTTGCATGTTCTCCAAGTACTGAGTCATCTTCCCCCCTTCGGGATACTTAGGGTGTACGTTTTTGAAGTAGATCTGAAAAACAAGGCAGGGTGTTTGCATGCGCTGTGACTTATGGGCACTGCTGTGCACAACTACCAAATGCATCTGCTACAGTGTGCCACGCAGGGAAAGCGCTCTGCTTTCATGGCTGCTGCAAGCTGTCCCCTAAGACATCACAAGGTTAACTGTACCTCAGTTATTAAATGACATCTCTGGAAAGCCCCATCTGGGGCAGGAGTCCCCTCAGGGCAAAGCCACAGCCCCCAACCCCACCATCCTCAATAAGCTCAGGAGTGCATGACAGCTGGACACAATAGGCATTATTTACCTTTATGATTAAGTCCACAAAGCCTCGGTCATCATCACTGGAGACAGGTGTGTATGCCCTGATCACCAAGTCACCATTAATTTTGGCCAAGAGGTGGATATAGTTCCCTACGGAAAGGGCATCAAATGGTAAGTCTGAACACGACCAGCTAAGTACCACCCAGGAATGCCCTCAAGTACTGAGCCTTGGGAAGGGGACAAATACTGGCAAGATGGCACAAGGGGATGGAGGGAAGAAGCCCTAAGGCAGGATGTTTGGGTCCTAGGCCTGCCCTTGAACCTCCATGTGCTAGCATGACTACAGTCATATTGTTAAGGAATCTTAACAGGGACTTAAGACAAGAAGAGCAAAAGCTGGGAGGTACCATTAAAAATGACAAAGAAGAGTGTTTCCCTTTTAAAGAAAAATATGTTGCCTTTACAAACTCATTTTCTCCTGAACTGAGGTCTGTCATTCCGTCACAGCTGCCCTGTTTGTGTCCTGGTGCCTGGCACAGAGCAGAGTTAGGCTCATAGCGGTCGTGGGGCCTCAGGATCCAAACACCCATGATTCAAACAAAGCAGCAGCATTGACCTGGTCTGTGGCTTTGCTGAGGGGCAGCAGTGAAGTCTGAAGCATGTAGTTCTGCCCCTCCAGTGTAGACTTCTGTGGATATCATAAGGCCAGATAGCTATGGGTGCTGACAGAACCCCGGGGTCACATGCCAGGCTGAGTTGCTCAAGTATCTGGTGGATCTAAAATGGAGACTTTGGTGACTAAGGCAATCCGACATGAAGGCAGGAGCTGCCATCAAGAGATGCTAAGAGCTAGAGGCAAGGGAAGCCACAGTGCCAGTTTATGAGGAGGCCGACTCTTGGAATACCCAGGAAAGCAGATGGCAGAGTATGGATACACAGCTAAGAGAGACAGAAAAGGAGAGGAGACAGAGGACAAGGGCAGCTGGTTTGAGGTGCTCAAGGGAAGCACAAACAAGAGTCCTTGAGGAGGCCCTGACATCTGAGGTCCAAGCGCTTTGGCCTGAAGCCTGGCCATGGCTTGGCTGAGCCCCACCCAAGGACACACAGGGACACACACCTGCAGCAGCTTCCATCTAAGAGTTCCCATGGAACACAGCACCTAGAAGGGCTCTGTCAGATGCAGCCAGCCTGGGCATGGCCTGGCAGTGTCCCCAGAAATATGGGGTTGTCCCACTAATGCTTCTGGCCTCATTTCTAACCAAGCAATTAACACCAGCAACTCCAAGTCCCCCCATCAGCCATTCCCATAAGCCATTATACTACCTTGTTCTACTCTACTAAGCTTGTACGGCTTCCACCAGGGCTGAGAAGAGCATGGGTCCAAGCAGTTGCTAAGAAATTCTTTTTCTCAAGGTTTTTCAGTCTGTTACATGTCCTGCCAGGCAGGGACTGGAAGACCACCAGACCCCATGTGCTCTAGTACAGAGAAGGAGCCAGGGAGCCTTGAGGAGGCTCAGTGCCCCCTGGGTGTCCTGTGCATAATTCCAGCAGACTGAGGGTGGAGGGTTTTTGCAGACAGGACAAACAGGCCATGCTGGCTACTCCACCAGGAGGGAAGGAACACGCTGGGTTTCCCAGGGTCCTAAGGTTTTCCACATCACGAAGACTAACTTGGCTATCTAGAGAGCTATAGCCTAGAAAGGGGGTCACCACAAACTCTAGGGCTCCTGCAGCTGGTATCCACAATGACTGTCTTTTGTGTGGGTCTGAGGTCCCTGCAGGGAACTCATGTGGGACACCTGACTCCCCTACACGCCCTTACACATTCTGGGCTTTTCTCCTGACTAGGAAAACATCAGTGCCCCCAGGCCTCTTCCTGCACAGTGATCTGCACTTTCTGAATTTTCACATTCATCAGTCACTTTACCCACATAATAGCCCAGCTGAGGTAAGCAGGCAGGCCTGGGAAATCCCATGTCATGGGATGAAAATCAGAGAGGTTGAGGACTTGGGTAGGGTTGGTCAGCAAGGAGCCTCAGACGAGAACTTAGACATTCTGACTCTAGGGAACTTCTTTTCCACGCTCTTGAGGTAACACTTTTGTGTCAGCCAAGTGGGACAACAATGAAAAAGGGTGCAACTCATCCCCAAGTACATCTCCCCATCTTCCCAGGCTCACAGCATTCAGGAAGAATACAATCTCCCTTCATGCCTTGGGAGGTTGGAAACCGGTGTTCTGACGGAGCAGAGTGCCTGGCTTCCAGAAGCGTAGCCCTAGAGGTGACAGTGAAGAGCCAGCTCACCTACAGGAAGCCCTAAGACATGGTCCAGTGAGGGCAGTCCAAAGCGGAACCTCCGGGTGTTGTGGTTGATTTGCTGATAAAACAAACCAGAGACCGGTGGCTGTCAGCATCCAGGAGCCCCCCTTGGGTGCCTCTGCTCCCCAGCCAGCGTTCCCTCCCTCCCTCTCCCTCTCTTCCATCAAGCGTGGAGGAGTTGCACCGTCCCACTACCTCTTTCTCAATCAGGGGCAGCGGGTACTTGGAGTCAGGATCCTTTAAGGTGATGAGGTCTTTCCTCCGCGTGTTCATGCTCTTCAGGGCAAACAGGATCACTGTAACCCCAATGACCGTGATGGCCAGCAGCGTGGACGGGTCCTGGCAGGAACAAGATAAACAGAGCACTCAGGCCTCGCCATCCTTGGACAGGGTGTCCCTCCAGCACAGCTACTCGTCCTTTGCCAGTGCCACAGAAGATGCAGGCCATGTCTCCGAGGAGACGGGAAGAGGGAAGGGCACCGAACAACCCATCAGGCAGGGAGCCCGCGTGGGACAGAGTGAAAGGCCAGGGTCAGCTGCGGATCAGAGAGGCCGGGGACGGGGCCAGACAAGGCCCCACTTCCCTTTATGGGGAAGTGGACACTGGGAGGCCCCTCAGAGGCGTTGATGAGCTACTAAGGAGCAATGAGGAACCGGGCCTGAGTCTTGAGCTGAACTAGAGAGGGCGGGCCTGTAAGGGTCACCTCTGCACTCCCCAG